TTAAATAATTTTAAAATTAATGTAAACCTACCTAAATTATGACAATTTAATTTGGGATCATTCACTAATTTCAAAAAAAAATTAATTGCTAGGCGACACTAATATTTTTTAATAACATTCTAGGGTTAATTGCAGTATTAAAAAACCATTCCAAAAATAAAATACAGGGTGTTCCTTTTAAAAAACATACATTTTTATTTTTCAGGCAAAAAGCAACACCCTCTATATTCAAAAATATTATTAAAATATGTATTTTTCAAGTCCATAGAACTTCTATAACACAAATTGAAATATTGAACACTTACGCACTAATGGGACACCCTTTTTCTTATATCATGTTTTCTCCTCATACATAAATTTTCTTTGTATTGTAGGCCTGATGGCCGAAACTAGTCGCTTCACAACTTAACTATTAATTTATATGTGGTAACAGATTTTGTTTTAATATTGGTACTTAGCTTATTACTATTTTACATGTCAAAGGCATGCAACAAAAATCCATTTTTTAATACATTTATCCATTTGGGGACTGGTGTGCTATGTGACATTTTGTTGTTTGTGGACCCTCATCGGTTCGGGACACCACATTAATTTAGGTTATGAATAAAAAATGAATTAAAAGTTTATTAAATTAATATCACAAAATTTTATAAAATAATAATAAAAATATAATAATAATACTTGATAAACTAAAAATCACAAGTTACATTTGGATGAATTTCAGTTAAAAGAATTTTTTTATTATATTTGTACCTCCAAAATTCAAAATTTAAACTCAAATTATTATGATTCGTTGAACTATATCTTACTTAAAATTTAAATATATTTATTTCTATTGCCGTTATTCTTGAATATTTAGTTAGTTGAAAATTCAGCGTTATATTTACCGCACTATAGTAAATAGTAGGTTGTTATGTTGGGAATGGGGTGTTAATACACTACGACCTAAAAGGTCTATTGGGTCTCCTTCTGCCACTAATGCAGCAAAGAAATGTCTTGATGCCTATCACGACCCTTCTAATTCTATCTTCTCAAAGTAGTGAAGGATTTGGAGTAGAGGTAAATCTTCCTCTTCTACTTGATATACTCCTAGATATAGTGCACTTAGATTCTGGAGTGCTACACATTTAGTCAGAATCTGCCCTTACTTACTTCAACAACCTCTTTCAATTTGGGAGATAAATTATACTGTGGAAGAAGTCCCGTTATGTTATCCATTATGTTCTGTTTTTATTGTTATTGATGAAGCAACCTGTACACTGTGTGGGAGTGTAAATTTACATAATTTAAGGTACTGGAGTGACGTCAATCCGCACTGGATGCGTGAAAAACATACTCAAAGACTACAAAAATTAAATGTATGGTCAGGTATAGTTGGTACTCAGTTAATTGGGCCATTCTTTATCGAAGGAAATTTAACGTCATATGGTTACAAAATGTTATTTAGAAATGAAATTGTACTTTCACTCAGAAACTTGTTTGGAGCCAATTTTAATCAGATATGCTTTCAGCAAGATGGAGCTCCAACTCATTTTGGTGTAAATGTTCGGCGTTATTTGGATGATACATTTCCCGGACGATGGATTGGTAGACGAGGTAGTATTGAATGGCCTCTACGTTCACCTGATTTACATCCTGAAAATTATTTTTATTGGGGATACTTGAAAAATTCAGCAAGTCTTGCAGAGCTAAGGCAACGAATTATCGATGAATCTCGATAAATTTCTAGACAATCATGGAGAAATGTGGTAGACGCATTCTACCATCGATTAGAGTACTGTCAACTTACAAATGGAGCACATTTTGAACACTTGATAAAGTAGCCATTATGTTTAAAATGTTGTAATCTTTCAATTGTTACGTTTTAATGTAGTTGAAAATAGTTTGTATTAAAAAATTTGAGACAATTAGGCGTTGTCAGATTGCTGTTTTATTTATTAAGGACCTTCCAGGCTACATAAGCATTACAAATGCATTACATATGGTTGAACTAGTATTAAATAGAAGATTCCAATAAGAACTGAATACAGAGGGTGATGAATTTAAAAAACCAAAGTGACTAATAATATAAAAGAAACGGCAAATTTGCGAATATTAAATCTGGAATCTACGTATCCCAAAATAGATGTACCTCAAATTGTGTACAATTAGGACTAGCAATTTACGAGAATTGGCTGTTTCCAGACTTTTGGGCCACTCTGTATATTTTTGTGGGAGATTGAATCGAAAATCAATCAGAGGCTAACTTTTTCTAAACTTTCACGTGGTATTTAAACTTCAAATGTGAGTATATTCTAAAACCTAAAAATCATACTGTATTATGTTTTATAAACATTTTACAAAATGGTTTAATTAACACACGATTTAAAATGGTTAAAAATGTAATAAAAACAGCATACAAAATCTACCAACTTTTTTATTTATATGGAATAGAATGTAATAGTTCCTTATTTTAATTATTTAAGCCAAGGCGAGTGTAGCGTAATAATAATTTGGAGAATATTCTCATGTCAAAGTAAAAGTTAAACTTTGATTTTCAGTAATTTATGACTCATTCTGTAATCTATAATAATTTATGTCATATGTTAAACTAGAAATATTGTCTGATAGCCGTACAGCATTATTCTCAAAAAATATTACTAATCACAGTAGTTGGTTAAAAGGCATTCTTCTAAAAAAAAAACAACAAATTCGTGCAATATCAAAAATCATCCATAATTTGTGCCGATCGTCATTATTCAGAAAATTTCACCCAAGTCTATTTTATTACAAGATGTATGGCTACTTAGTCCTTTTATGAAATGATGAATGTATTCCTTTTATTTCCCCTATACTGTATAATATTATTTAGCCGGATACATTTGAGGATTTTTACGAGAGCTCATTAGCTCTCAACTTTGATGATTGCAGCAATTTGATTCTGAAAATTACTCAGCAACCAGCTAGAGTATGTAAATCGTTGAAGCCCGTCCGCATAAAACTAATTAAGTAATACAAAAAAATCCTTCTGACCGCGCCAACAAAGGGCCTCATAAAACCGAATTAAAAAGTAGCATACACATATTTTTATTCTATAGTAAATTGTTTAAGACCGAAAAATATAGGTCACTAGCTTCTCCCCAAAATGCTCCGATGCAATCCCTTTTACGCTAAACGATCCACCGATACTTTGAGCGGGTTATATTTTGTCAAGCACGGAATTTGTGGTCGCTCAAGGAATTTTTTTCCAAGATTAAATTTCCCTACGAAACTATATTTCTTCGGCAACTTTGGCGCGCAGAAATAACAGTTTCAATATCGAAAAGATCAATCAAAGGGGACAAAGGACCCTCCTTTGAATACTTAGACACTTTGTTGTTCCGGGCCCGTACAAAGCAGGTCGGTTTTTGACAGGAGCAGCGCTAAAATTTAAGGTTCGGGGCGCGAAGCGCCAAAGGCACGAGTCCTCGCCTATTATGCTGCATTTCGAAAGTCGTAAATTTCGCCGGAATTTCTGCATAGAGGTATTGTGTAGTGGCTCGTTTCTTAACTTAGATTTATTGGCCGGCGCAAGATGCCACGTACTGCGATGCACAAGAACATTTTCCTGCTAAATCAAGACTGCGGTTATTCTGTGTTCCGGCTGCATTCCACTACGAATTATTTTTAGTTGCATATAATTCTTATTTTTTTTAGATTTACATTTAAAATAGATTTTTATAACGCTGGGTCGGTTATTTGTATTTATATCTTCTCATTATGTGAAGCTAGCTTAACAAAACGGTACTAATTAAAAGAATATAAACCTCTAGACTTGATAAAATAAATATTGTAATGCTATCACCAAAGACCGGAAAAATGCAATTTGCATTTTCACATTTTTTCCACAAATTTAGAATTGTTGCACTTTTTTAAATTTTCCACACATTGAGATTTTTTTAATGAACTTATAAATGTAATTAAAAACAAGCTATTGTTTTATTTAAATGTGATTATATCCAACGTCACACAAATAAGAACAAGGATTATGGTGTAAAGTCCTACTTTCATCCATGATATGAATAAAGAAATCATTTCTCCGGCCTTGTAATGGTTACCCCATTGTATCAATAATTCGACCGTGCCCTCCTTATGGAAACAATCAAAAGTATTGCTGCTACCCAAAAATCAAAACTCAACTGACTATTCCGATTTGAGGCCGATTATTAGTACACAAAAGGCAGTGTGAATATTTTAAACTTTTAAACAAGCTGTAACCAGTTTTCTACTAAAAGAACTCAAACTATATGACAATTTCCGCTGCCATGCTAGACAACTTCATGGAGCTGAGTTGTAATATAAACGTAAAATTTCATTTTCTTCACCCACACCTTAACATCTTCCCTGCAAATATTGCTGATCTCAGTGAAGAATAGGACGAAAGGTTTTATAAAGACATTAAAAAAATGAAAAAAAAAATTACGATGGCAGATGGAATGTTAATATAATAGCAAGTTAATATGACAGCGGACTAAGTATGGATATTAAAAAGGGACGAACCTGAAGTTATCTAGATCAGGAAGACCCACTAAAAGTAGTTTTGATAAGTAGTGGAAGCTTTTCTACAAGGTTTATTGACCGTTTTATTTATAGTCTGTTGTGTAAATGTAAATTTAGCATTTTTATAATTTAAAACTCTCAGAAAAAATGTAAAAGTATGGATTAAATTTAGTTTTCACCCAAAATACACACATTTTTGTGAGATAATCTGACGTTGTAGACAAAAGGTAACAGGTCATACGGAGTCTTTTGGGCGTTTTAACTGTCACTTAAGCATGTAAGTAAGTAATCCGGATAAAAAAATTCCAAAAAAGTCGTTTTAAGTTTAAAGAGGAAATGGAGCCTTTTCATCACAGACATAAAAATTAGTGATCAAAATAGAAACGACTTTTAATTTTTGTTTTTTAGATCTGTATTATTAAACACTGTTCAGTACTAGGTGAAGCACAACTTACCGTACTGCGATTCTTGAAAGTTTGGTGTTACAACTTCTTACCTGAAACAAAAAAAGCTTATCAGAAAAATCTAATTTAAAATAATTTTATACTACAATGTTCTGTCGCACCCATTTAGTTAAAACGTCTTGCAGGTAAAGAGAAATTTTAAAAAATTTCTTAAGGAAGTAACTGCATTTTTAATTAGTTCACCAAGAGAACAATGAAAAATATCGCAATGACTACTAATTTTATTGTAATTGTTACTCATTACATATAAGGGTGATTTTAACATCAAGTTGGTTTTTGCCCTAGGGCATTCGAATAGCTTGTTGGTTCTAGAATTTAGACGGGGTCTATTAAATTTAATTTGTGACAAAATATCGCTACAATCAATAAAATTGTGTATGGGTTTAAATAGAAAAATAAGCGAGGATGTGTTCTTTCTTAGGCTCAGGCTATTAATATCAAATTGGTTACACAACTCCGCATAATCACAACCACGTTCGGGATATACTCCATCAATTTTGAAAACTAGGTATTTTAAATATTTTCTTTGAACCCGTTCTATATCCAGAACGTAGCAGTTGTAATAAGGGTTTCAGATCAGACTACAATATTCCAGCTTAGAACGCACGTGGGTACTAAATAATAATTTAAGGGGTGCTATATTTGAAAATTGCCTGCAGTTTCTAATAATGAATCCATACATTCTAAAAGCTTCGGAAACTTTGACTTAAATATGATTTGAGAAGGTTAATTTAGCATCAAAAATTACACCTAAGTCCCTAATAGTAGAACATCTCTCCAACTCATTATCTCCAACCGAATATGAGAATTGAATATTTTCTCTTTTCCTAGAGTAAGTAACTATCTTACATTTTTGAGCATTTAGGTGTAACATACTTGTCTTACACCAGTTATTAATACAGTTCAAATTTATCTGAAGCTCATTGGTATGTTATTTGGACCCGATGTCATCTTATTTTTAAGTTTACCAGCAGCCACATCGGTTTCTTTTTCACAAAATGCTGGCATATTTATTGTCATGAGTTGCGTACTAATATTTCCTACTAGTTCATCAGGTAAGTATACCATTTCAAAAAATGATTTAAATACATTAACTATACCTTGCGGATCACTGAAAACAGTCCCATCTAAACTCATTTCACCTGGTATTCTCGAAGATTTGTTTTTTGAATGTATATAAGACCAAAATTTTTCATAATTATTTGAAATACTTAACTGAACAACTTCCAAATAATTATCGTAGGATATTTTAATTTTCTGTTTAATTAGTGTTCTAAGCCGTTTAAATTCGAGCAAATCTGCATGTAGCCCTATTTTTTTATACCTCCGATGATATCCTTCTTTCAGTTTTATATATTTAATAATGTCTGAATCAAACCATGTTGGATATTTATGTTTATAATTTCTGTAAGCTTGAATGTGTTTATCAAACACAAGATATATTTTATCATAAAAATCACTTACCATCCTATTGACATCATTGTATACATCAAAAAACCCCCAGTCGAGGCTTGTTATTTCCGTATACAGTGATGGAAAATCAGCTTTTCTGAAATTGTATACTTTGGTTTGCGAATTAGGTAAAAAGGTAATATCCTTTTTACTCATTTTACTGAAAGTGATTGACAGCGCCGGATGGTGATCATCCTCTTTTACAAGTGGTAAATCATCATGAATAACTTCGCTTTCATTGGAGGAAATAACCAAATCAAGCGTACGATTTAAGCGATTTGTTACATGGTTGTATTGAACTAAGTTATGTAATTCGATAAAATTCATTAAAATGGAAGTCTTGTTGTCTGATCTGTCTAAACTTATAAATTTTGGAACATTAAAATCTCCTAACATAATAATATTATTAAAAATATCCAATTGCTCTCAACAATCAAAAAAATATTCAAAATCATCTACAGTCAGCTTATCAGGAATGTACAGAACTAACAAATCAAATACTTTATAGTCAATCGAACACTTTATAATAAGCAAATCGATCGAGGGAAATTGTATATCAAACATAGATGTATCAAACTTGCTTGATTTTATGCAGCTTCTAAGTGCCAATAATACTCCTCCTCCAGTTGACTTTTCTACTAAATCTAGTCTGCGGTCTTTACGGTACACTTCATATGTGTCGGAAAATATTTCCGAACTTTTAACATCACTACTTAGCCAAGTTTCACTTAACGCGACTACATCGAACTCTGCTTCACAAACACTAGCATAAAAATCGTCAACTTTAGAATTTAAACCTCGCACATTTTGGTAGTAACATTGAAGCTGAGCATTATCGTTTGAGGACCTGTTGGGCCTTAACGGTTTAAAGGTACTATGGTTGGAGTACCATCAACGTATCTGATTCTAAACTTTTCAGTACCTTTATTGTTTTTCTCATCCAGTTCCATTTTCAACTGTCTATAATAGTCTATTTGCCTTTTAGTACGGTCAAAGGAAATAGAAACATGTTTATATTTTCCATTCTTTAATGAACTGGCTTGCTTAATCAAACTATTGACATCGGTTTCTTCCTCCATTGTAATCTTCATTGGTCTATTTCGGCTATAACTAAAACGACCAAGTCTAATTGGCTTCAGATGTTTTAGATCTATGCTCCGATCAATGTATTTTATAATGCTCTTTACTACTGTTTTATCATTTTCGCTTCGATCTTCTGTTGATAGGACCTGATCCTGTTCTGGCACCCCAAAAATAATAATATTGCGCTTCCGTTTATTTCGCTCATTAATTTCTTGGACAACTTCTTCAAACACTATTGAATTATTAGAATTCCCTAATTGTTTATTATCCTCTTTGAGGCTTTTGACTTCTTCTTGAAGCATCAGTATTAAAGCTTTAAGATCCTTTATTTGATTTCCAATCGTTCTGCAACTAGTACAAGACCAATCAAAGCCATTTTCGTTATCATTAAACATATTTATTTCCTCAAGTGTAACATTTACGCACAAATGTCTGAACACCTAAGTGCAAACGGAGCATTTAATCATAAAATTCGATTTGTACGATTTATTGCAATAGGAACAAATTAAGTTGGGCATGTTTGTTTGTATTTCTACAACCCGCCACTGGACTTCGTAAAATATATTTTTATTATCTCTGACGCCTCCTTATCTATCGCAGGTTAGGATATAAACAAACTAAAAAGTGCATTCAAACTAGTTTAGAAAGATCTAATACAGCTTACCCCTGCTAAGAACGTAGGTTAAAGAGTTAGTTGCACTTTCACAATTTATTTTAAATAATTACTACTATAATAATCCAAAAATGACAGAGCAAAAATTTACCACAACTTTATCTAGGTATCATAGTCATACATTAATAGGAGTTTTTACTATTGAGTATTTTGCTGCAAGAAGGATGCAACTCTATTTTTGGTAGTTGTTGGGAAAATGAAAAAAAAACCTGTTAAAAAAGTTTTTAAATTAAACTTAAAGACGAAGTCGATAATACAGAGATTTAGCCAATATTTAAAACTATTCTAAACCTTATAATTTTTGTAGGATTAGAAAAAATTTGAAAAAAGCTGCATCTTTCTTTTACCAAGTACTTGAAAAAAATGCGTACTTACTACTTCATTGTTTGGTGAATAAAACAAAATTCCTAGTAAAAATTCTTTATTAAGTAAAAAAAAACATAAGAAATGTGGTATAAATTATATATGCGTTGTTATTATTATAATCACTCTGTGTTATGTTTTAATTTGTAATTGTCAGATACCAATTTAATTATCATTTTGTACACTCTATTTTTCTGGAATAAAGCCATTTACTATGGGTATTTATTACAAGAATATAGATTGCAAAATACAAAAAAAAAATAAATATAAATAAAAATACGCAGGTTGGTATCAAAAAAAAAAGACAATTAACATTCTTAAAAAAATAAAAATAATGAACACATACAAGGAGGGACAAGAAAAAACCGGAATTGGGCTGTGGTGGGAAAGGAGAGTGGGTGGGGGAACCCATTGTTTGATTGAATGTCCGTTACGATTATGCAACCTGAGTTAGTGTGCGACGTTGTGTTGCAACTGCATTAGTTCGCCCGTTGCACGCGGAGTTCGTGTTCCTCCAGGCCAAACTGTCAATCATAAGTTTTACTTGGAGGTTTTAAAAAGATTAAGAGAGTATCAAGAAGAAATATGCAGATCTTTGGTGTACATGCGACTGGTTCTTCCACCATGAAAAAGCGCAGGCCAACACCGCCCTCTCCGTAAAGCAGTTTTTGACCAAAGCATGATATAAATTAAAGAATGAAAGTACCGAAGACACTAAGTACCAAATTCATCAATTTAAGATAATTAGAAAAACAATTTTATTAAATGTATTTCTTTTACCATTTACGCGCTACCTTATTTTAATTCACATGAGCTTAAAAATTATATGACACATACAACCTTTGTGGAGATATTTGTGATGGTATTTACTACTCTTTTGAGTACTTCCTTAAAAAAAATGATTTTGGTACTTAGTACCTTTAGTACTTCTAGTACTTCTACTCTTCAATTTTTTATCCCCCTTCCTACTCACCAGATCTAGTCCTATGTGATTTCTTTTGTTTCCCAGTTTTTATTGGGATATAAAAGGTAAAACAAAAATCGCTGGAAGGCTTAAAGAACATCCCGAGAAGTGAATTCAAAAACTGTTTTTAACAGTGGAAGGATAATTTGGAAAATTGCGTTGTGGTAAATGGAGAATACTTGAAAAGTAATTAAAATTTGATATAAAAATAATAGGAAATAAAGACGGATTTTTTGTACTTCATTCATCTATTTGATCATCATTATCCGTTCCAGATTTTCGGGTCCCTGGGTCTTTGCCATAGCTTTACATCTGAGGCAATTTTAGAAAGCCACTTGGTCCATTGAATCGAATCGTGTTGCCAATTGCATTACATCCTGATACTTGGGTATACAGGTATGAGATGGTAATACACTGGGATATCAGAAGAAACTGAGAGATCAATTGCAAGGTCTGTCAAGAGTTTAAAAAACAGAAAAATCGGAAGGCCAGTAGATACACTAACATTAATATAATCCAATTGTTCCTTGTTTTATTGAAAAATGCGGTATTTTGAATTCAGGACCCTTGTCTAGAATAGAATAGAGATGAAAAATTAAAATTTGCACATTGTTTAGAACTGAAAACGTAGTCCTTCTTTCTCAAATCTACTAAATAACTCCGAAGCACCGCTCATACCTGTTAACCCATGACAAAAACTATTTATCCATATTTTAATTACTGAAATCATTTAATAAAATAGTGGCACCATCCATTTAAAAAACTCAAACGGGAAACACTACTAATCTTTACTTCTGGCGATAGAAATAAAAACAAAGAAGGTTAGCTGTTTAATCCCAGCTGTTCAAAAAAAAGTGACGCCTAAAAAACAGAGAAAGTTATTTTAAATATGTATACAAGGACCCATATAGAAGTACTGAGTTCTGAAACTGCCGGACAAAGTAAGTGGATCCCTATTTTAATGATAACTACTCTAAGATCAATTTTAAACGTTACTAGGTGAATGTGGAATTACGTGATTTAAAACTGAAGTTCCCTCAATAGAAGATAGTATATAAATCAATAATTTATATCCACATAAAACTTATTTATCTCTTTTACGAATCTCAATCTAGCCGCCATTCAGCAAAACGTGTGCATAAAACTGATTTGCTCCCAACTTTCTAAAATGCCTGCCGATTTCCTGGTTAAAAGCTTATGTACACCGAAATCTCTTCTTCAACTCCCACCTAACTATTTATATTCAATTACGGCAAAAGGCCGCGAACGGAAAGAGCGAAGGAGCGATAGAGAAGCAGCGTGCGAGAGAGCCCCGAAAAGATCCGGTAAAGCAACAAACTACAAAAATTTAATTCAACCTCCCGAAAAGTTTAGGGGAGATAAACAATATTACTTGACCTTACTTTACCACATGTATATTTTTCGCTGTTGGTTAACGTGTTTTTAGGCCAGAAGGTAAGGACGGAAATAAAAATATCAGAATTTTCTTTTGTTAAACACTTTAGGCTTATACATAATCACCCTCGCTCAGGAAAAATAACAATGAGCGTTACTGACTACTACAATTGTTAAATTCCGTTTGTTATTGCCCCACGTTGGGCGCCAAACTGTCTTAGTCTTAAGTATGCATTCTAATAAAAATGATTGTCTGATGAAGTTGCCACACACACCTTAATTTTACATTAAGTTTAGTATTTTAAGATAAAATTTAAACATTTTTAATTGCAATCTTTTACTTTTATTACTTTAATTCCAAAAATGTCCTCTCGAAAAAAAAATCATCTAATGTCTACGTGACAGTACGGATTAAACTTAAAAAAAAATCACACGCTACACCATATTCTTGTTCAAAATACGCCCTCAAAACACAATGTCACCGTTATTTAAACTAATTAGGTACAAATCAACAGATTAGTAAAGAAAGTTTGTGTGTCAAAAGCACAAAACACTCACCATGTCAAATTCATTAGGCAACCATTTGGACAGAACGTTGAAATCAGTAATGTTTAAGTTTTTTTTTTTTTAAATCTAGAAGATCTGACCTAGGTGTTGTTCGGTTTCTTTTGAATTATTTATCTCCAACTTTCCCCTAATCATGGCAAGAGGTAGTAACGGCCGGATCCAAAGTTCCACAGCTTCAAGTGGATACTTACCATTATAGAGGGGTTGTTAGCCGCGTTCAGCCTCTAACGTATTCCACATAAATATGGAGAATGTTTCAGCTAGATTAGATTTAATGACGAAACAGTTAAGAAGGAATTATGTCGAAGTTCACTTGAAATACGCATTGGCGTAGTGATAGTAATGTTTAGCAGTTAATGAATTTTATTTTTATTATAGGCAATTTTACGGATACTGATGTACGAAGTAAGGACACATAAAGCACGATCAATGACGGCGCCAAATGTACAGGTTATTATTTATATTGTTTTTTTGACACTATACTCGTATTTTACAAAAACAAGCAATACTGTCACATCTACCGACAAAGTCACGCTATTTATGTACGTAAAGCCAGCTCTGCTCCAGTACATTCTCGACGATCTAGAATATCTAGGAATTCTTCCTCTGTGAGTCAGCAGGCGCGCAACGGCTTTTCTAATAACTTCTAGTAGGAGTGCGTTTGTCTCTGTCCTGTGGTATTGACACATAGACAATTGTTTAATTTAAAAATAGTTTATTTATTTAAATAAGTTTATTTATTAAAAACAGTTTGCAACGGCGAGAGAAACAGGGTTGGCTTAAGATGGTTACACGACAATACATTAATTAAAAAAAAAATAAAAACGCCAAAATAGTTCAAATTCTTCCTGCACTCACTAAAATCACACCTAGAGGAACTTGACTTAGACTGGCAAAAAAACAACCTTCCTTTTTTGATATCTGTCATATTAACGTCAACAGGTGACACTTGACATCTTGTCACTCGAGCCACCATAAATATTGTAGATACCATAACGTACGTGAAGTTGATCAAATTTAACAACGCCACCCATTATTTTATTGTATGTAGACACAACTTTGGGACAATAAACCGTTTCTCTCACACCTGCCTTATGGCAAATCAAGACTGTTGTTTTCTTTTGGACAAAAATAGATAAAAGTAACAAACAAATTTACTATCCATCCATTTGACTACAGAGACTGTCCCTTTGGTTTCAAACATAAATTCGCCCTGTTTTATTTTGGCTTTCTATGTATAAATATCTGGTAGATTCTTTTTATTTGAGCAAACTGTACCAATAGAAAATATTCCGTCCAGTTGTAGCTTTCTCATAAGATGGACAGAACTATAGAAATTATCAAATGCTACAAGGCATTACTCATTTTTCAATGAAGACGTGAGAATTATAAATATTTTGTCACTCAAACCGAAAACATCACTTTCTGGAGCAATGTTCTTGCCAGTTTATACATCAAATTTACAAATATACCCTGAAACAGAGTCTGCCAAACATTAAACTTTGTAGCAGCGCTTCGCAGGCTTTTTGGAAATGTACTTTTATAGAAGAATTTCCTTTAAAGGCAATCATTGATTCGCCGAATGCATTTTCACAAGGGGCCTTACCTTATTCCGCTTATCATACCCAGGCTCACCCTTTACAATGGTCTTTGTATTATCATTTAGAAAACTGTTATCTACAAGTTTTTTATGACATGACCTGGGCAACTGTAGGAACCGCAAGTAATGGATCCTTGACCAATAGTTTGCCAAGTATTGAAGTTAATGGATACCCGTTATACTCATACCATATGTAAAGGCTTTTATTTTCTGGAGATATCTTGCCAGTTTTTAAAAGTTCCTGGACTTTCTTTCTTGTTACTTCTTCTTGCTAACGCTTGTGAAGCATACATATTTGTTTGATCAACAATGCGATCCAAAATGTCATCAATAAACGTTTAATAAAAATAGTCTTTTTCGTTCGCATGTCGAGGCATTTAAATGTTGGCTTCAGCAGGTCTAGAAAAATCCACATCGTTTTTATGTAAATGCTCGCAATTTTGTGTTTACGTAAAGAGCCCTTCAATAATATCATCATATATTTCATGAAGTTGGGGATATAGCGGTGAAGACAACTG